TCCCTGCGTATGTATGCGCAATTGGGTGTATTTAATGCACTGGCAAATGTTTGACTTGGCCCACACACACACACACACAGCCAGCCCTGAGCACTCGTTAATGTTTATGCTTATGCTAATTTTGGTCAGATCTGAGCAGCGTTTAGTGCATTCTGTCTGTTCACACAATGTTGTGCCCGCTCTACTTCATCTTAGTGCTTTATGTGCCAGTTGGCAAATTGATGTGTGGCCCTTGAGAGCATTTGAATGGAGCTACGAGCGAGCTATCTCTCTCGCTCTCTTCATTTTCTTGGACTTAGCGCATAAATTAGTTAATCAAATGCAGCAGTTAAACAATAATGCAAACATTTTGTTGACTCCACAATTTGCAGCGCCTGGAGCCTGTGCCACAACCTGAGTCCCCGAGGCAACGCCATTTGCCGCATATAAATGTCAGGCAGCTTCGCTTTACTTAGTTGCTGGGGCCGCTTGGAAAGCTTTTGAGCGACTAATTAGATTCAGATAGTAGCCAGCCAGCCGCTTTCTACCTGCCACGCCCTCGCCAGCAAGGTGCAATGCCTGCAGCTGCATCCCTTGCTCAGGCATAACTTAATTTGCTATGCAATTGCTTTTGTTGCTTTTGTAGTTGTTGTTGCCTTTGTTGCTGTTGCTGCTGGAAAATTAATTTTCTCATGATTTAGTTGGCATTTGTGGTTTTGATTTTGCGGTTGAGTGGTCTTTAAAGGGCCTTAGTCACGTAAATGGACATCAAAAAACGCGTTAATTAGCGCAAAATATTACGCATACGTAATGTGCGCCCGTTCCGTTGGGTTGAGCTGCAATTTCTATGGCAATGTGCACATGTCCATGCAATGCCACAGCAAATATGTAGGCCATGTCCTAATCTAAATGAATTCAAATGTCACGTCACTTTAATGTGGACTCAATTCAAGGCTTAAGTTGTGCTCGGTTTATGCGGGCAGCTGCGGCGAGTGGGGCGAAGAGCTGCCAGGAATTATGTGGAGTGGAATGACTGTGAAATGATTAGGAAATTGTATTATAATTGATATAACTGTTAAAAGTTATGTATGGTTCACCCACATGGGTGCTATCTGTGAAGCTCGAGACAAGCTTAAGTCATTGACTGAATGGTTTTACTACTGAATCCATTTCAGCTTCTATTTTCTAAACGCAGCTCTCAAAACAGACTTACTTCCTTCCTTCCTTTAACTTACATAAGCCAAAACTCTAGCTTGTATCATTATTAACTCCCTTTAAATTCATTCGTTAGCCTTAAGTCTCATTCAAAGTCTTAATGATTCCAATTTTTGCTGCTCTGATTTTAATTTATTTTCCATAAAAAAGCTTCAATTTGCTTCTCAAATATATTTAATCCAAACTTTATACTACACAGGTAAATGGAAAATTGTTCTGTCTATCTCACATTGCATAAGGATTAGTCTTATATAGACTTTTATAAGCTGTTCAGTCTTTTAGTCTAATATAGACTTTTATAATCTGTTTAGTTTTTAGGCTCTCAAAGTCATTTGGTTCGCGTGATCGTAATATACACTACATAAACGTCGTCTAGCGTGTCAGCATTTCTATTAGCGAACTTCAAGCGCGAGTTAGACCCTATCCCCACCTATATCCTTTCAGCCCCAGCTCCATTTGCAGCAATCGTATGTGGTTCCACGTTTTGCTTGCGGTCAGTTGGTCGTCGGTCAGCAAACAAGCGTGAAATTGCACAGCCATCGTGTTGGACTGGAAAAACGTGGAAAAACCAGAGTAAAAGAAATAGAGAAAAAGAGCAAGGAAAAGAGAGCGGCAAGCGGCAAGCGGCACAAAAGGCAATCAAACCTGCGGCCGATGAATGTGAAAAACCCTTAAGCTTTTTGTTTGCAATTTTGGCCACATGCAAAGCAGGCAAAAGCTGGCACTTCGCTAAGTCCCTCTATCTCTCTTTCTCGCTCTCTCTTTCTATCACTCTCTAGCAGTGCAATCAATGCGCTATTGATGATGTTTGATTAGAAAAGTCTTTTAAATGCCAACAGCTGCAGGGGATTTTGTTATTCAAATTAAATGCATACAATGCGAAACATGCGCTAATGAATCAATTATCCTTATTACTTGTCCATGCACACGCACACATAAAGTACTCACACACACGCACACACACACACACTGTTAAATATGCATTTGCTGCATATATAAATGCGGGCGAAATGCGCCCCTCAATGCGCCACAACGTTTCGTTTAATTAAAAGCGATCCAATTCGCTGGCTAAGTCCGCAGCACGTTTTAAATTTAGCTCAATTGTCCAAAGGACCAGAAGAATTTTTGCAGCTCTCAAACAACGCGGAAGGGGGGAGCGGGTAAGTGGGTTGGCAACTCGTTCACTTCATTAAAGCACGTAAAGTTGAACAATTTATTTGCATCATGCGCCAAGCGTCGTTCAATGTTATTGAGCCTGAATGTGGATTGATGGCAACTGCTCGGCTCGATGCTGCATAGCTGTAAATTTACCCATTGAAGGCTCGCCCCAAGATTTGCGGCCATAAACTGAACACAATATAGAGCAGCGCCAGCTGCATACTGCACTTGGGGAATAGAGTCATGCATATATGTAATCGAATTTCAGGTAAACGTGTAGTGGTAGTTCACTCAGGTAGTCAACTTAAATTGAATATAGGAAAGTCTTCTAGAATAATATAAAAACTGCTTTGAAACTATTTTATAAAGCATTAGACTACGCTGATCATATTAAGTTACAGTCAACACTTATGTTAATACGTTTTTTTAACAGAGGTCTGACGTGCGAAGACAAGCTAAACAGCTTGAAACTGCGAGAAATGCTAACTTAACATAAGCATAACATAATTCTGCAAATAATATTTGGCTTAGTACTAGCCTGCCATCAGCTAAAGTAACTGCAACTAAGGCAAGCTTAACTCTTAGAACAGTGCTACTCTTATAACAACTCTTAAAATAACATAAGTATAAGACTTTGTACAGCAGACTCTTAAGCATGAATCAACGCTGTTAATGTTAACTTAACGTAACGTAACAGTAACAGACTACGTATGGCAAGCATATGCATGTTAACTTTTTGAGTTAATTATTTATTTTTTACTCGTTTTAATAAATATTTAAATTTAAAAAGTAAATTAAACTATATTAAAATATTTTAATATAATTCCGCAATATCTTTACATTTATCATTAACGTATTCGCATCACCTTGAAGCACCTAATTGATTGGCTTAAATTTGATTATATTACGGAAATAAATTCAATAAAACTCGATTGAGATTTATTTCAATTGTTAAAATCTGAATCGCTGGCATTCAAATAGCTTCGATATCGTGCGCTGTCAATCAGTTTTCAATTATTGCAGCTAATTTGGTTGGCCTTTAAGCGCACGCTATATAAGTATATAAATCGTAAATACATATATGTATGTCATCTGGCATACCCTTCAAATGGATATATACATACATATATATAGGAGTCTATGGCATGCCATGCCCATTACTGCAAATGACACTATGCCATACTGGAGTTTATTTCATTGCATTTTTTTCTGCCCAGAAATCGCTGCAAGCGCACAATATATATAAAGGGTACAATAAAAAATACCAGGATAAACGACTGCAAGAGGGAAAAAACAATTCGCGGCACAGAAGTGCAAAAATGGAGTAAAAATGAGGCGCATAAAATGCAAGCGGCGGCATTTTGCAGCTATGCGGCATGAAAATGCACGGCAAAGTCGAAGCGAACACAAGAAATGCAAAAAAAAAAAAAAACAAAAAGAAAAAAATAGAAAAATAAAAGAAAGAAAGCAACACGAAATAGCAGCGTGACATGGCGTGTAAGTGTTGGTAAACGCGGTGCGAAATGCCTCAACGCTTTTTGTCTCTGCAACGTTGTTGTTGTTTTTGTTGGTTGTACAAATGTAATGTAGGTCAGAGGAATGCAGTACTGATACTGTGCCGCTATACCCTGTAAATACGCTATGAATGCAATATAGAATGGACAGCATTAGTGTTGTGTAACGCTTAAATAAAGATTCGTCTTAACTATGTTTAAAAATAAGTTATATATATAAAATGCGTATTATATAGTAATGGACTTTAAAAGTAAACTTAATATGGAGCGTATTAGTGTTGAGTAACGCGTAAAAAATATTTTAAAATTGTTTTAGAAATATAATGTATATTCGTGTTAAGCACAGCTTAAAACATAGGTGGGTATTCGAAATATAATTATTTCTTATACAACAGTGTTGAATAACGCTTAAAGACAATTTAAGTAGACTTAAATAAGTTGTAAAGTAAGCTCAAAACAAATTGAAAAACAAAATAAATATCGAAAACAAATTCTAAACTTATGCAGTTAGTGTTAAGAATGCGTGTTATGACGTTACCCAACACTGGCAGTAATGCCATTTGCCTGCGCTAGTCCTGCGTTTGTTGCTCGCTGCAGTTGCTGTTGTTTAACAAGTTCGAGTGCAGCGCATTTGTAAAATTTAAGAACCATCTAAAGTTTGCTGTAAGCCACAAAAACAAAGGCGGGAGTGACGCGGGCTGAAAGTGAGAGAAAGAGAGAGGAAGAGGTAAACTTTTTGAGGCTGTCGCTGACACCGAAATACAAAAGCAACAGCAAAAAGTTTGTTTAACAATGTGTTAAGAAGCTGAGCAATGGTTGCCAAACGGAAAATGGCCGGGAAACTTGGAAGGGTAGGGGCTTAACAGTAGGATGCATGGCATCATGTGTAGGGTGCACAATAGCAAAAAAGAGAGCAGAAAAGCAGCGACAAACATATTTGACATTTGCATACGAAAAGTGTCAAAAGGGGAACACACACACGCACACACAGAGAGATGAGGCCGCAACTTCCTGTTACGCTCTTATCTTGATATATTGCTTGCTTCTTCTTTTCACTCATACACATAATCTCTATCTCCATCTCAGTCTCTCTCTCATACTCTCCGTCTCTTTCTGTGTTCATCTCTTTTTTAGGAACGCTACAAGGCCGACATTAGTCTTGCCATACAATTGCTGCAGTGCAAACCGGACAGTTTTGTGCCCCAAAAGGTGTCCTCGGTGAGTGGCGCGCTCTCTCTCTCTCTCTCTCCCCTGCCTTGGCCAGGCCGGTTTAATAACTCATTTTGTACTTTAGCTGCCCATTGACATACAGTCGAAAGTTTCGGCTTATATGCGGCTGGAGACCAACTCCCACTCGGACTCGGAGTGCAGCAATAGTGGTGTGGGCGTGGCCACCACAGCTTCCTACAAAGTGCTTCCGGTCTCGGACTCGCCCCCGCCAGCGCCCTGCCCCTTTCCGCCCACAGCCATGGTATACTCGATGCGGGGCCTCGGTAAGTGTTAGTAGACCATTTTGATTTTGATTTTCCTATGATTTCCATAATTTTGTTAACTTCTTATATCAATTAATATCGATTTTAAATTGCAGTTTTATTACAATTTGTGCAGCAATCATTCACAATCAACATTTTCACATTTTCCGTTTATTTACTTAACTTTTTTATTATTTTTTATTGTAAATAGTTGATGACCTTTTGTGCTCTTCATTACTTTATTCAGTTTATTGTTTTAGTTTAAATTACAGCTCAAATTTATTGTAAATAATTGGCACAATTTGTTTTTGTTTTTATTTATTTTTATATGCCATATTTTATGGCTATAAAGTTTTTTTGGCAATATTTTGGAGTGAATTTTTAAAATTTTTTAATAATTGATATGGGATATGCACATATATGCATATAAATAAATATATGTTATTCAATATATATTTAAATATATGTTATATATGTAGCACATCAATCAGTTGAATAGCTCTGGCAACAAGCATTATAAAGCATGGCTAATTACATTTTCGCATGGGTATTCAAGGCTTCAGCTTATAATTAAATTCCAAACGTATTCAGGATTTGATGTGTGTGTGTTTGTGTGTCTGCATGCCAATGTCGAAGGCATTGGGGAAAATGGAAATGTATGCGAAATGTTTATTACAATTGAACTCGAGCTGCTATAAGTTATGCTACAATTAGGAAGTTGATGCATCGATTTAAATTTTTTTATCGATTTTATCTATATATATTAAGTATTAATCGCTCTTCTATGTAATTCTCATGCATTCAAAAGATGCCCTGTCCAGTCCTGTCTTATGTGAGCGTCGAAAAAGCATGCTTTCTAGATTATTTTAAATACTATTAAAGACTTTATGAGGCGATATTAGCAACTAGCTTTTACACATCTGTATAATCAACTTTGTAAGTCTAGACAGTTATGGGTTGTCAATAGTAATTGCAAACAGTGGGCAAGAATACTTAAGCTTACCTAAGACAGTTTTTCCCTTAGCACAAGTTTTGCTCAGTAATAAAATTTGCCTTCCATCTACCCAACTAAAGCCAACTATTCTGCACACCATGAGCAACTTTAAACAATGATTCACAAATATTGCCAAAAAAACGCTGTTTACATATGACCAAATCATCGAACATAGCCCAAACCTGATTGTCTACTAAATTGCTTCTTCTCTCTGACTCATCAAAACAGACGCCACTAATGGCAACTCAGCCAATGCACAGACAACGCCAGCGAAGAACAACAACAACAACAATAATAACAACAGCAGCAATAACAACAACAACAATTCCAGCAGCACAAAGGACACCATCAACCACAATAACAACAACAAGCTCAGCTCGAAATTTAGCTCCAGCCAAACGCTCAATGGTCAAACCAAGACCAACAACAGCAACGCTGATCCAGACATGATTTCGCCAACTGTTATGGCTAAATTCCTGGAGGATGAGCTCAAATTGAACGATGTTAAGCACTGCGATACTTGCCAGTGCAGCAAACAGGATCTAACCGTGCTGGCAGACGTCTCTCGTTCCTATACGGTGGCCACACAGACGCCACACACTCTGGCCGCTGGCAGCAGCAGCTTGAACGAGCCGCTGACTCAGCTCTGTCTGCGCTGCCACAGCAATCTGAATTCGCCTTCGAGGACCAACAGTCCTTACTTGATGAAGCTGGTCAAGTCCAGTGACTCAGTTATCTCGGAGACCAAGAGCTCCGTCTCGGACTTGAATGACATGGACAAGCTGTTTACGCCGCCCAAAAAGGATGATTTAATGGTCAATCCCATATTGGGGCACCACAGGCTGTGCGAGCGCACAGCTCTGCCGGACTATGCTGCGGGCAAGATGAGTGCCTCGACGCTGATGTATCCAACCACACATCTGGGCGCCTATGCAGCCGAGAAGTATCTGCTGGAGACGAGCAACCTGGGGCAGCTGCGACAGAGCAGTGGCACAAGTGCCTCTGCCTATCAGCGACGCTTTCTGGACGGCGGCGGCACAGCTCTGCAGCTGCTCAATAAGTGTGAAGGCGCCGGCGCAGCTGCCGTTGATGAACTGGAGGATGAGGTCAGCAAGCCGCTGCTGGCGGGCATATCACAGCCAAATCTGCTGGAGGCCGAGCAGCCGCCGAGCACACAGCTGGCTAAGCCCGAGGATGTGTGTGAGCCGCAGCCGGCGAAGCCAGCGACTACAGCAGCAGCAGCCGCAGCAGCCGCAGCAGCCACTGCAGCCACTGCATCAGCAGCTGCCAGCTCCCAGCTGAAGTCGACTAACTCGGGCAGCGTGCAGAGCCTGTGGAGCAATAAGACGAGCAGCTGCGAAGGCGCCAAAATGTTTGAGACCTTCAATAGGAATCTCATCAAGACTATAAAGGTATATTACATATATCCCCTTACTAATCAAGGTTCTAATCCTGTTTCCATTTCAGGCGGAGAATCCCAAGTATCGCGGTCCGCGCCTCTGCGCCATGCGCATACAGCAGAATGGCCAGAGCAACATATTGCTGGACAATCTGGAGTCGATTGAGACGCATGTGCCGGTCATCTACAAGCGGAGAGAGCGTCTGCTGGACGAGGAGCTCAACGATGGCAAGGACATCATCACCTCCAAGGAGAGCAATGCAGCGGCTGCTGTTGATGCTTGGCAGGCCTCGGCCATGCCGCATGAGAATGTCGCGCTGCAGCCGGTGCTGGAGCCGCAGGTGGAGCTAAAAGAGACTGAAAAGGGCAGCCAACTGGAGGGCCAGCCATTGCCAGCAGCGGTTGGCAGTGGCGCAGCTGGCGATGCTGCCAATCAAACTGTAACTGCAGCAGCAGCAGCAGCAGCTGCAGCTGGTGCTAGCGCGGCTGCTGCTGGCTCGCCCAAGCACTCGGCCAACTCGAGCTCGCTGAGCGATGCCATCGACTATCAGGAGAGCGTCTTGCTGCGGCGACAGCAACTCAATCGCGTCGCCGAATGGGTGCAGCACAACACGCAGCAGCTGGAGCAGCGCGCGCTGCAACAGCCCACGTTGCCCAGCGACTCGAATTCGGGCACGGAGCGGCAGTCCTCTTACTCCACACTCGATCGCATGGACTCCATATCCATAGAGAAGCTGAGCGTGGACTCCGGCTACAAGACAACGCCACAGCAGCTGACCAATGGCTATGCGGATGCGGGCAAGTCCACGGAGGACTCGCTCTCCCCAAAGACGGACATCACCAGCAACTCGCTGCCCGAGCCGACGACCACAAGTCAGGCGGCAGTTGCGGCTGCCACTGTGGTGACCAAGAAGGCGGAACTCTGCACCACGTACTACAGACGAACCACGCGATCCGGCTTGCCGGTGGCCTATACCACGACCATGATGACAGCAGCTACGCCGGTCGATTCGCAGGGCTGCTCCTCGTCCGGTTCGCCGGCGCTGCAGTGCCCCGAACAGCCCACGTGTGATATACTCAACTACAAATACTATCCCAATGACACGGACAAGACGCGCTCCGTGCAGGCCGAGCTGCATACGACCACACAGCACGTGGACATCGCCCAGATGGAGTACAATGTCAAGCAGTTCCTGCTCAAGCAGAACGAGTGGTCGATGCGAGCCGAGGGCGCAGCAGCTGCTGGCGCGTCTGGTGCACGTCTGCTGCGGCACACGCGCGTCATGGGCCCCGGTGTGGGTGAACGAGTGCGCATGGCCACGCCCGGTGGCGCTGTGGCAGCCACGCCCAGCGCCCTGGCCCCGCACAGAACTGAAACGAATTTATAAGCCAGCGGATGGAAGATCGATGCATAGATGGATAAACCAAATTGTATTCTAGTTTAGCGCCAGATACTAACCAGAAGCAATGCTTATAAGAGAATCTTTAATTTAATAAGTACTATATAGTTATATATATATATATATATATATAATTTAAAGTACGCCTAAGCTAGCTGAGCAGTCGAACAGTTGCGCTTATAATGCAGCTAAATGGACAGCGTGGCGTTGGCATGCTATATAAACTATAGAAACAATATCTTTATACACTTGGAGAAAAAGTCGAATACTTTCTTTTCTAATTCTTATTTTGAGAGTAGCACAGAAGCGCTGTGAAAGTCTTTGGCCTGACCTTAAGCCTGTACCTAATCAAAGCATATTCTGGTAGAGCATTATATATCAAGACATTTTGTAGCGATCTCAGATATCTCACTTGATTTTCAAGACTTTATGTTTACATATTGCCAAAAAGCTGCTTAGGCAGCTTTTCCAAGCAACTTTTCAACACAATCGAACAGAGTAGGTTGATCTATAACTGTGAAAGTAATGATTTCTCTAGTTTTAAATTTCCTTACATAAAAAAAATGCACTTCACAAAAAACTTCCTTACTTCATGAAGATCGAACTTAATACTTAACAGCCTAAGTCAGTATTTTATACAAAAACAAAATATTCTTTATATCAAACTCCTATATCATATAAATATCACAGAAACTATCATTCAGAATTTAAGTCTTGGTGTTGCTATCTGTTCCTTCTCTCAAGATATCTTCAACAACTTCCACTATGTTTCTTATAGTCAAACATAAATTTAATTAAAATACAACTGCTATATGAAATAGCTGCTATAGGAACAATAGTTTCTTAAATGAAAAACTTTTCTATTTGCAAGTATTACAATGCTCTTTGTTCACCAGGCAAGGCTTAGCAACATTCGATCACTATATCATATGCCAGTGAACGGTCTGAGCCTGGTTTTAGTATGATAAATTTTCTTATATTTCAATGAATGCCAAACCAAAATTGAAATTTATTAAATTAACTTTGCTAGCTACACATACAACAGTTTATGACTAGATCTGTACTATATAGTTAATATATATCACAAAGTTAAAAGTTTTTCTGAGTTCCTCAATATCTTGTCCAAACTCCACGATCTACCCTACTCTTCACAATATATTGCTTAACATATCTGCTTACTCTAAGCGCATTTAGTTATCGATTATATTTCTGCAACGACTTTTTCTCTGAGTGTAACACACACATTCTTCTCAAGTCTTCCTTCCGCTGTATAAACTGTACAAACTTAACTATAGAGCAAGCTTTTCGCATTTATCAACTTTGCCACTCACACACACACACACACGCGAACCCACTTGTAAGTCTTCCCTTTGCCACTTTTTCTTCACTTAGCCCACTGCCCAGCGCCACGTTGATCCAGCTAGTCCAAAGCCTATATATATATGATAAAATGCATATGATTATTCCATATGATATTCAAATTTTCGCATTACCTTTTGGTGTCTGCATGTTAATCAATCCATTTAATATACAAGCATATATATAGATATATATATATATATATGATCGATATGTAATTTGATAAGCGCATTATATTTTCTAGATTCCAATTGTGCAATATTTGTTATTAGCGAAAAACCAAGAAAAAAACCAAAAAATTATGAGAAAAAAGAAAAAGAAATTTTTATTTTTATAAAATGCGACCAAAAAAAAAAACTGAAAAACCGAGGCAAGAACAACCTATTCGAAATTTCTAAATATATTTAAGTTGAAATATTTTCGAAAAAAAGAAACAAAAACTAAAAGCCGCCAAGAACCTGCCTAATGTTAGCTTCTACGATATAGCAGCCGCTCTATAACTAACCTATATACAAGTGTACTGTACCTTCTTAGTAAAAATTTGCAGCAACTGTACTCATTCCTGCCCATTAGATGACCTTCATAACACACACACACACACACAGCATATATACGCTCGATCCTTATATATATAGAGAGAGAGAAACGATGTAGCTCTTCAGTCAACTAGCATTTGCATACGTATCTGAACACACACACCCACACACATACATATATTTACACACACACACATATATATATATATATACCGCAACCATATTCATATATATATACATATATATCCACGTATACCCGACCCACATACTTTCAAAGGCTTCAAAACAATTATCTTATAATCCATCCCATATTAAAAGCAAAATTTCGAAAATGCCTATTTACTCGTCTATATTTACATAACATGCAATACATACATATAACTCCACATATACATACATACATATATACATATATACATATATATATATATATATATATATATATATATATGACTTATACACTGAGCGAAATGCAATATGATGAAATGCTTTAATACTGTTATGTTTGGCCTAATTCTAAACGTTTAATTAGATCAAATTCTCAGATATATAAAAAAAAAAAACAGAAAGTAATACTATTATCTACTTAATAAACAGCTTGAACTTATCTAAAGTTTCGACTATCTGAACGATTTGTTACAGATTCCTAACTTAATTCGAATCATTTCAGCTAAGTTTGTTCAATCAAAAAGAAAACCAAACACAAAGACTTGAAAATGTTCTTCGAAAGACACGTTAAGATATATATGAATCCAAACACAATCAAAACTAACATATTCAGAACCCAAATCTGTGCATAAGATACTTTTGGAAAACTAAGCAAAGAAGTTCTTTTGCTAAAACTCATTCAACTCGCTGCTCAAAGACGATGAAGAAGAAGACAAATTTCCCTTTCACTTTATTATAGCCATAGTACACGCCCCCTACTTTTCCTACTCCCCCTCTCCCTCCCTCATTAAGCTATGCATTTAAATTTAAGTAGAATTATTTCCAACAAATTTTCGAGCTCAAAGAACTTTATAAAAAGGCAGCCTACGATTATTAGCAAAAACTATATATATATACTTTATATATATATAAATTGAAATGGAATTTCAAGAATTAAGAAAAAGAAAAACATTTAAAATAATATAAAAATAATTTTAGCGCAAATATTTGGGCATAAGTTGTTCCTCTCTCCCCCTGCTCCCTCCCAGCTTAGTTCTAAGTGGTTTTTTGCTGAGTATTTATTTTGTAAGCTCCAATTCTAACTTAGCCTTATATAATATACATATATATATATATAAATATATATATATATATATATATATAAATATATATATACATATATATATAGAATGTACAATATTTTGCGCCTAGTTTGATATAAACAATTTTTGAGCTATCGAACCACCTTAATGTGTAACAACTAAACAAAAACCGAAACAAATTAAATAAATACGAAATAATTTTTGAAAAAAAAATGAGCAAGTTTTTTGATCTGAAAAAGAGTTTGGGCTTATAACAAAATATATAACATATTATATTGATCTTTCATAAGAGGAAATTTGTTATATAAATCGGGTGCTTATTTTCGAGTTAAACAAGCTTAAGTCATAATAAAACGTAAAATGTTATTTTTAATATCAAGAAGATGAATTTTATTAGCTACTAAATACTATGACATTATAATTAAAAAAATATTTTGCTCATATATGTATTTTATATTTTATTTAGGATTACTTTAATAGGATATTTTATGAGTATAACAAGGCCATTTACCTACGCTCTCAACAGGTACTTCGCATTGTGAGACTTTAGGAAACGAACTTCCCCGAACTCATTTACGTATTATTACCAAAAAACATCTGTTTTATGTTTGGGTCAATAGGATGACGAGGGTAGTTTGACAAGTTTATGATTTTAACTTAGGTTTTTAGCCTTTTTATGTTTATATAAAATATATAACAATTAGATAATATATATATATATATTAATAATAAAAAAATTAATAAAATAAAAACTTTTTTTTTTATATTTTTTATACATTTTTTTAAATATTAAAACATTAAACAAAAACAGTTTTGTTTAATTTCTTCAATATAAAAAAAAAGGAGAAAAATTTTTTTTTTCAAAATTTTTTTTTATGATAAAAAGAAAGTAAAAACAAAAAAAAACATTTGTTTATTTTATTTTATGTTGTGTTTTAAATATTAAAAAAGTTTTTTATATTTTATGGTCTTTTTAGATAGTAAAAAATTAAATAAATAAAAAAAAATGTATATTATTTTATGTTTTTTTTTTTAATAAAAAACATTTCAAAAAGAAAAACCATATATTTAAAATATTTTTTATTTTTATATTTTTTTTTATTTAAAAATAAATTCCTGCGAAAATGAAATAAATAATTTGTTTGCATGCACTTAAACAACTATGGAAAGTTTTTTCGCTTGCTTTTCTCTCTCTTTCTTTTCTCTTTTTCTTGATTGAAAAATGGCGATGAAAATGGCTTCAGTCAATGCTACGCGGCGAGCTGCAGAAATTGGAGTTGCATTGAGGCAGCTGGGCTCAGAGAGCAACGGCGCCGTCCTCGGTAGCAGCTGCAGCGACTTCCGGCTCAATCTCTGGCTCGACTGAGTTGCTGGGCACGCGCTCGGCTGCGGGATCTTGAGCGGAGGCATCGTCGTTGACCACGATGACCTCATTGACGGGCACAGCCTCCTCGAAGGAATCATCGGTGGCTTCGGCGCTGCTCCTCACCTCGTTCTCTGACTCAGCGGGCTGCTCGGCCACCTCGTCGGTCTGCTCCAGCTTGTCGTCCACAGCAGGCTTGGCAGGTGCCTCGGTGACAGTGGCGACCGCGGGTGGTGCATTCTGTGGCCGATTGCCGCCCAGGAAGTTGATGATGCCCTGCAGCGGGCCAACTTGCTGTGGCTGTGGTGCAGCTGCAGCCGTTGCGTTGTTGCCACCGCCGAAGACATTGTTCACAAAGGTCTGAATGGGTCCCGGCGGACGCGCTGTGGTCGGCTGTGCGCTCTGCTGCTGCTGGCCCGTCAGACCCGACAGCGTGTTCTGAAACTGTGTGCCCAGATTCGTGGCGAACTGCTGAATGCCCTGGAAGGCCTGCGTGGTGGTGTTGACCACACTCTGCGCTGCATTCTGCACCGCATTCTGTGCCGAGGTGATGGCAGCACTTGGATTCAGAAAGCCAGGCACTGTGGGCGCGGGCGTTGCCGTCTGATCGGCCTGAACTGTCTGCTGCTGCTGCTGTGGCTGCTGCTGTCCGTTGAACTGATTCAGAAACTGTCCGATGGGCGAGTTTTGTATCAGTTGCTGCACAAAGTTCTGCTGCGTGCTGCTCTGCTGTGTGGGCGTGGCCTGTGTGGCTTGGCGTATGTGTGGCTGCACGGCATCGTCGACTTGTTGTGGTTGCTCCACCAGCGGCTCGGCGGGCACAGATTCGGCTGGCTCTTCGGCGGCTTCGACGGGCTGGGCTTTGAGAATGGGCTGTGCCTCGGCTTCAGGCTGTGCCTGTTCCTCTGGCTGCGGCTCCTCAATTTTGGGTAGTTCAGTTTTGAGCTCTGGCTCAGCCAAGGGCAGCTGCGTTTTCGCCTCCTGCTCCAGCTGCTCAAGCTGCTCCACCTGTTCCGCTTGTTTCTCCTGCTCCAGTTCCAGCTTCGGCTCCTTCGCCTGCTCCTCCTTGATCAGCGGCTGCGGCTCATCTTTGATTATGGCCACGGGTATATCGAGCGCCTCCTTGGCTGCAGGCTGCAGCACGCGTCCCTGGCTGCCCAGCACCAGGCAGAGTAGCACCAAAGCAATTGGCTTCATTTTCTCTTTCTCTTTTCCTTTTACTTTAGCTCTGTCCAACTGCTGAGCTTGATGTACGCAAACGCCTCACGGCTACGACTGTTTGAAATTTCTTCAGCCTCGACGCATTTATACACGCGTCGATGTCGCCGCCGACGCCGACGCCGGCGCCGATGCTGGCTCTGACGCCGCTGCTGGCAGCGACGACAGCGACGGCTGCGGCCCAAAGACAGTCGCGATCAAGTGAAGACGACGCCGTCGTCGTCTTGGCCAATTCTTTGTGCTAAATGTCATTGAACTGCTGCAGGCGAAGGTGAAGACTGCATTGCAGTTGGCCCTTTGCACGGCAACCACGATAATTGGCCAATTCTAAGGAGCTGTACTTGTTGGGCGGGGCGGGTGCGGCAGCTTCTAGAAATCGTACCGATCAAGGTTACACTTCTACTTAGTTTGCTGTTGTTCGAGAGTGAAGCTTTGTAGTTAATTAATAGAACGATTGGACTTTGAGTGGGTTTGCTTGTCTTTTACGACCTGAGTCGAGGGCCTGGGCATGTGGCTAAAATTAGAGATCATTAATTCGATAAGCAGTAGGAGCAAAATTCTATTTCAGGCAGTCGATTTTGAGTAGGGTATTGAGGGAGTGCGTTCTTGGACGTGCATTAGAGTTGGCTATAAGAGGGTAAGGTAAGAGGATAAGGTAAAAATTAAAATACTAATGATAATGCTAATAGCAATGCTAATACTAATGCTAATACTAATGCTAATGCTAATGCTTCAAATGATGATGATAATGATAATGATAATGATAATGATAATGATAATGATAATGCTAATGCTAATGATAATGATAATGATAATGATAATGATAATGATAATGATAATGATAATGATAATGATAATGATAATGATAATGATAATGATAATGATAATGATAATGATAATGATAATGATAATGATAATGATAATGCTAATGATAATGATAATGATAATGATAATGATAATGATAATGATAATGATAATGATAATGATAATGATAATGATAATGATAATGATAATGATAATGATAATGATAATGATAATGATAATGATAATGATAATGATAATGATAATGATAATGATAATGATAATGATAATGATAATGATAATGATAATGATAATGATAATGATAATGATAATGATAATGATAATGATAATGATAATGTTAATGATAATGATGTAATGCAATCGAAATACCTTTTCAGTCCCACCTTCAGTCAGGGTATTTGTCAGTCGACATGGTTAGGCCATGGCTGAGCCATCTTGTTCTTGGCTTTAACGATCGTCGATTAATTTTACAGCAGATTCAACATTGTGCGCTCTTTGTTAGTGGCTCGTTCAACACGCATTTTGTCCCACTATGCAACTGGTTTTAATGCCTTTTATCGATCGGACAAGAGATCTCAGCATATTTTCCACACAGCCACCCACCTCCGCCCGCAGCTGCTCACGCCAGTTTTTCACTCTCGATGCAGCAGCAGCAGCAGCAGCAGATCCAGATGCAGATGGAGCTGCTGCTGCTGCTGCTGCTTGCAAGAAAGTCTTTGGCTTTTGGGTCTTCGTTGGTTCTTTGAAACGAGTTTTGTTGGCCAAACGAAGAAAACCAGCTCGAAGTGCTGGCTATTTTTAGATCCAATTAGCTTTTAGCTGCAGCGACTGTAGAAGGGTTTTCGAATCTGAATCAATTTGGGAATTGGATGCGTTTCCAATTTCCCTCAGCTCGAACAACAAAATGCCATTAGTAATTTATTAGTAAGAAAAAATTATGCAAATCAAATGCATTTTGGACCCAACGAAAAACTAGTTAAATGGGTCAATGGGCGGCGCAAGGGGCGTGGCAGGCAAAGAAATTGAACAATTTGAGCTGAGCCACTTTCAGTTAGTGGCCGAAACTAAGCAGCAAAACTGTTGTTAGCTGAACTTGACCAAATTGCAAGTCCAATTGGCAATCCAATCAGACGAAAAAGAAATCCAATTGGACAGCCGTCGAGGAACTCGTTTTTGCTGTGGCCCTTTAAAAGCAAAGCGAGCCAGGCAAAAGGACATTGACATTAGCTTTGATTTTTTATAGACATGTTGTTGGTGGTGCTGCCGGTGGTGCCGGTGGTGCTGGTGGCTCGTTTTGTGCGTCTCTTAATTGATTTCCGCAACAAGCAGAACAAGTTCGAGTTTATTTGTATTTGCCATTAACTTGAATTTAATGTGCGCTCTTAGCTTGGCTTAAAGAAACTTTATGTATATCTACACACACACACACACACACACTGTGCCACAAATGTCGTTCAAACATTATGCAATAATACAATTGACGAAGGTGAAAAAAAAGCAGCTAAAATAATTGTTAAATGAAATTAACACCTCGCTCACATATTTCACTTGACGCCCAAACACGCATCAGCTTGTGGGCGGTTTTTTATGGGGCGTGGCCCTGCGAGCAAACGGTGGCAACTTTCACTTGACAATCGTGCGGTAAACGAATTATAAACAATATCAACAACAGCAACAACAACAACAACAATGAAAGCACATGCAAATAACGTAAATGGGAAGGCGTCAACAGATCTCTTCAACAACAACAACAACAACAACAGCAGCAGCAGCAGCAACAACACCAAACGCAAATTTTGGCTTGGAATTTTCAACTTTTGTTTTTTTTTGTCGCAATATTTGTGCCATATTTTTGTTTATACTTCATTTGTCAAGGTCAGTAAGCGAAAAAAAAACATGTGTGTGGCTAATAAATAAAAGTTGTGCCAAAAAAATTGAGCACAAATTGTGGTTGGACAAAGAGATTTTAGTTAAGATTTAGGGAATATACAAATTGGTCATGGCACTGGCACAATGTAATGCTTAATTGACTGTTGACATGGCAGTAGCTAAAAATATTCACAAAAAGTGTTAATTTATTGCGGAAACTTGACTTAAAATAGCAGATAAAAACCATAAAATTCAAATTTAACGGACAACAGCAGTGGGCAATATATTCGCCTTAGCAACCAGCTTATCGGTGCCATCAAGAGCTAGCTGACAAGAGCTAATCAGCATGATTTGCGTAGTCAACTTCAATTTTTAAAGTATTCGCGCTGTCTCAAGTTTACAAACTTAGAAAATGTATAAATTATGCAGTTTTACAAAATGAAATAATATATAAAAATTATGGGCATACGTCGAATGCTATACGTTTATTCGATTGCTACAAAAACTATTTGAAAGTTGTTTATGATTGGCCGCCTATGTTAAGCTCAAAATGGTAATGTTAAGTGAAAAGAAAAGTGCATATTTGGCAGCTTAAGCTTAACATTACTTGTAATTTTTACAAATAATAGTTTACTTTTTTATTGAAAACAATTTAAAAAATTATTTTTATTATTTCTCCTTAAAACTAATCAAAACAAAATCTTAATAACCCTAAGGCAATACGCATATTTGAAAACGAATGAAAATTATTGGTCACCCCAAAAATATCGCCGCCTTAACAGTGCCATCTATCGATAGTTAACAGCATTCATAACTTAACATAGCACCGCATATTTACATTGGCATCACAGTCACGTTGAGCAAACAACAGCCAGTTTGCTACCGTCCCCTTCTCTAGTTAGAGGCTGCAAAACTATCGATAGGTATCAACGCCGCGCGTTCGCCTCAGTATAATTGTTAAATAAATAAATAAATTGTATAAATCATGTGGAATGTGTAAAAAAATGTTTGCGTAAGCCGCGTGTGTTACAACGCAACACGACAGTGAAGTGCGCGCAGACAACAGCAGGAGCGGCAACAACAGAAACCGCAGTGCTGCTTGCGCCCACACCAACAAAAGAAGTAGCAGCAGCAGCAATAACAACAACAAGAAGAACCAATTAAGCAAGCGCAGCAAACAACAAAAGTGCCAATAATAACAATAATTAATTAAGCGCTTGTAAAAGACGAAATAAGTTAAAAATTAAAAAACTCAATGCGGCTTCAAAAAATCAACCAAATTAACAATAACCGCACCAACAACAACAAGAAGAAGAACAACAGTTGTTCATGTGCTCACTGCTTGTAAACGCGCGTGTGTTTGTGTGTGTGAGTGTGCGCTTGTGTTTGTGTGTGCGTGCGTGTGACAGCAGCAACAACAAAAGCATTGGGCTTGCAATCAACGGGATCGCCAGCACTTGACGTCGCGGTCGCGGTCGACGTCGCTAGCGCTGTTAAATTTCGTATATGTTAAATAAATCTGATAAAGAAAATGAAAATAAATGAAATACAAATAATCAATTAAAGTGCATTTGCTGTTGCCCCAATTGGCGTTTCTTGTGCTTTTCGTTTCGCTTCTTTCTGCTGCCTCAAATAAACCATTAAAGTAAAATACAAAAAAAATACAAGAAAAAAGTCGTAAAAGAAATTATTATCTGCTTGCGTGTTGTTGTTGTATTTGTCTTTGTTTGCTTTTTTAGTCCCGTGCATTGTGCTGCTTCCTGCTCTCGCTCTCGAGCTCACACACACAGTACACTCGCGCGCGCGTCTCTTATTGTTGATTTATGCATGTGTGTGTGCGTTGCTAACGGTTATTGTCGAGCGTTTTTCGCCACAAGTTCTTATCAGCGCGGCGCAACGGCAACGGCTGCGAGTTCAAGTTCGTCGCTGTCTGCGACACCAACAACAATAACAACAGCAGCAGCAGCCGCAGCAACAATAACAACAATTACAACAACAGCGACAATAAGAAACGTGACTAATGCACTGCTCGCGTAGCCTCTCAGCTGCCGCGGACACAACGACATTCTTCAGCGCAGCGACTGCTGCGTCGGCGTCCGCATCGGCCTCCTCTGCCAGCACAACACCAACAATGGCCACAACAACAACAACAACAAATGCTAAAGATGGTAAGTTAGCGAAAAAAAACCAAACCAAAACAGAAAAACATTTAAAATTTACTTATATACCGTTATTATATTGTTGACCCACTAAATGGCAAAAACTGCAAGCGAAATTTCGCAATTCGCTCGGTTTGACTTCGCCTTAAAGTTCAAGGCGAGTGCGGCACAGTTTTGTGTGTTAGCTAGCCAGTGACTGCAAAACTGTGTCGAGTGGACTTGGGAATTTGTATATAGATTTCGCTGGGGTATATGTGCTCTTCTATGCGATTTTCATGAATTTAAAGTGTGTGTTAGTAGGCGGAAGAAGGCGAGCGAAGGTGTGAATCTTGGGAAAGATTGAGAACGAATCGAAATGTGTGAGAGAGAGAGAGAGAGAGAGAGAGAGGGGGGCAGGGAATGAGCAAGATAATAAAAGAAAGAAACGAAGAGAGGCAACAAATGAAAATAGTGAAGTAGCTAAAGGGAAACGGAGAGAGAGAGAGCTATTGAGAGAGATAGATAGAAACAACTATTGAGAGAGATAGAGAGAAAATGTTTTTGAGATAGAATCAATGATAAAACGAGACGTTGACAGAGAAGAGTGGCACAAAGATAGTGGGATAGAGAGAAAGGGTTGAAGAAAAGAAGAAACATTGATCAATAAGATGGAGGAAAAGTGGGAAGATCATGATAGAAAATATTAGCAGAGCTCAGAATATATAGAGAGATAAATAGTAAAAAGTACGAGACACAGGGAGAGGTAGAGAAAACAATACGTAAATTCAGAAAACTTTTATTACATCTCTCTCTGCCACTGACTCATTATTAATTATTAGAAATCGTATTTGGGCTTCGTTTTTATTATGCAATATCAATTATTTGGAAATAGATTTAACTTCTGACTGACGTAACTTATCGTGAGACGCGTGTGAAATTGAATTAGCCTCAAGTTTTCGGCTGTTGGCCGTAAAATGTTGATTAATTAAGCCGAACAACATCGCAACATGGCATTAGCTAACAAAATAGAAATTCGCGAAAGAAGCAACAAATGGGCTAACAGCACTAATGATCGAGAATCAAGCTAACAGCCAGCCGGCCGGGAAGCAGCAACACAATAAACGAATAATAGAGAGAAAAAAAGGTTGAATTCGCACAAATCAGAAACCGGCAAGAGCAACACCAGCAACAACAACAACAAAGAGCAACATTTAAGTATTTTTGCGTGCAAAATAAGTTAAGAAAATACGCACAGACATAAACTTAATTGGCCAAAAGGGAACGGGTTGAGGAGCGCAGCGTGGAAGGTCGCCAAACGCGTTCAAAAGGCTTTTGTGATGAAGGTCAAAAGCATTTCGAAGTTGTCGTCACCTCTGAACCCGCTCGCAATTATTGATTTTACACGCAGCAGAAAAAAATCGAACATAAACAAAACAAAAGAAACGGAAACCTACATATTTGAGATATATAAATATAAATGCATATATATACCTATGTATATATATATATAAATGTGTTTATATAGTGCGCTTGTTTGCATTGGAACGCTGCAAACAGTCAAACATGTGGGGTATGCACGGCAAAGCTATACAGGGGCAGTGAAATTGTAAGAGTTGTAAATTTATTTTGGTTATATATTTAGATTTTTTACTTTACTTTGTAGAAGACAACAAATTTTGGAAATATCTTAGAAGAAAGGTTTAGAATAAATTGCAATTTATAGAAATTTTCTATTTATATTTACAATATCAAAACTGATTGTTTTATATAACAAAACTTATTTCAAGAATTCCAAGTATTCAAATTTTTGCTATTGAACCAAATTGCTATTTGCTAAATTGAACCTATTTAACTGAACGGCATTGTATCTAAAGCCGGTTAACGTTTGTATATTTTAGCTATAATAAATGTATATAAAATTCACTTCACATAGGTTAAAATTCATATAGAGCATTCGTTAGTCGACTTTGCCTGCTGCATTCCTTTAGCTCGTTTTTATTTTTGTTGTTGCTCTGCGACCGTCAGAGCGACTTTTGTGCGGTTTTGCCGGGCTGCGTTTGCTGCTTTGCTGTTTTCTGGGCCGGCTTTGGCTTTGGGTCTGGCTTTGCCTTTGCGTTGGCTTATGCCAAAGGCCAAATGAAAAAAACCAGCTTTTTATGCAGAAAGCAGCGGCTGAAAAGCAAATCTCATCGATGGTCACAAAAGACAACAACAGCAAAAAAAAAGAGGCAAAATTTATTGATATCATTAATAAAACATTATTTAATTAAAGCAAGAGCTAACGGCTGATGTTAATGCCAATCAAAGGGTCATATGCCTTACAGTTTTAAAAGCGCTGTCAAATGATAAATAATATATATCGTAACAGTTTTTTGATACGCTTTAACTACATTTTGCTTATATATAATTTATATTTCTATATATGCGAGTTTTCTTTAATTAGCATCAATTGTTTTTTAATCGATTTTTTATCGCTTCAATGATTAATTAGTTAATTTATAGAAATATTATTAAAAGTCTTTCAGTAAAGCAAGCAAAATTGTGTTTTTTTGCTAAGCTTTACCAACTATTTTAATTAGTTATTGCGTTTATTGATAGCTGGCATAGCTGTCATATTTGTGTGAATAATTGAAATTGTTGCGTTTGGAATTTATCGTTCGTAATAATTGCTTATTTTTTTGATGTGCCTAGTTTAATTGGTAATTGTTTAAAGGCTTGAACTGGCTTGAATATCACTTTTTATAGGAATTTCGTTTGTGATATTGGAAAACCTTTTGATAAATGTAGAAAAATTTGTTTAATTTAAATTAGATCAAAAATTTTAAGCTATAGTTTGACAAGCATAGCTTCAATTTATAATCCAAGTTATGCTATATATAGTATATACTAACGAGTATAAGTTTCAAATATACATTTCTAATACCGACGAACTGCTTTTATTGTATTTATATGTACAGCAAGACAAGCAATATACTCTTTTCACTTCATGAGCGTTCATACAAATTCCGCTTATTTTAGACCTTTTTCTCCTAACGTTTATCACAAGTAATTGACGGCAAAAGTTGTATGCTTTATCAGTACAACATCGTACTCATTCATATATATATATATATTCATACACACACACATATATATATATATATATATATGTATATATAAGATTATATATGTATATATATATCTGCAACTATTATTGTATCGTTTTTTATCAGTTGTGATTTCGTGCTTATCAGCAAATGCAACCATTTACCCGAGGCAAATACTGTGAGCAATACACGTACAACATTTATTTATTCTTGTTGCCGTTTTCAATTAGTGCACAACGGCAGAAAGTCAACAGCAGCAACAACAATAACAATATAATGCTACACTTTATAATTCCATTTCAACAATTACAGCAAAAAAAAAAATACAATTAAATTGAAGATAGGCTCAAACAATATTTAATGAACATAAAAATTAAAAGAGAGAAAGAATAAAAGTTAAAGTCGTATATTTTATACACTTGTTGACATGTGGAAATTGAGTATATATATGCTTACATATATATGCATATAAATCTGTTTATATTGTTAATCTATCTATACGAATAACCTTAATTTTAATTTCATTTTAATTTTTTTTATTTTTTTAATAGCCATTTTTATGAGCTATTTTTATGAACAATCAAATTTTGTTAGCCTTTCTAACCCCCATATATTACTATTACACTAAATTGTTCTGATCGTGCTCAGTCACACTACTATTTATATGAACAAGCCTGTATAATTACATATAATCCTATCACAAAGATCTTCTAGTTACATTTGACATGTCAAAACTAGCATACTCTATGGCTATGTATGGAAACAACATAGAACTTGCATAGAACAAACTTTCCACTCAATATTTCCCTAATCCTTTGCTTTTCCCTCCCTCACTTTGTCGAACGCTTAATGCAAAAATGTGCAATTAGCAAGGTAAAAAAAGTGTAATAAAAGTTACAGTTTATATGGCATAAAAATAATCAAAAACATAAAGAAAAAAACTGACGAACATATAAAAATATATGTAAATATTTCGCAAACATATTGAATGTTGCCTGTTGGCTGTTGGCTGTTTGAATGGGAGTGAAGTTTTGAAACTTTTCCATTGGGCGCTGCATTTGTGAGTTTCCACTTCACGGGCGCAGTGCTCATTCGGCAAATGCATTTGTTTTTTTTTTCCAGACTCGTCTCGCCTCGGCTAGGCATCATTTTTCATGTGGCATGCCATTTGCCTCGCAAGTGGCGGCAGTTTGTCATGTCCCATGTCCCGTGTCCATGTCTAAAGCTCCATTGCCCAGGCAGGTGCTCGTCGTCCGGCTTCCTTTAGCACTCACTCACTTCTCTCTCTCTCTCTCTTTCTCTCTACACTTTTTTTGATTTGTGGCATAGTCTGTTGCAACAATTTTTGCTGAATTGCCTGCCGTGTGCGACTGTTGCACTTGTGAATTGCTTTATTACAAATTCTGTCGCTCGGAGCGGCGCAGTCAAAAACAGCTGCCACTTGGCAGCTGACTAAATTTAATTTCAAATGTGCTGATTGTCAGCACGATTAGATTTTATTACGCTCTGCACTTACTATATTTATCATGGCTATTAGAGTTGGCCAAGGAATAACGTTGGAGCTTTAGTCTGGAAGTGTGTCGAAGTTGAAGAGGACGCAGGCATTACACAAAGATAAGATAAGTTGATGTCAACTGTGGTTTGTTTTCGATTTGTAAAGAAGAAAAGGCAGAGGAGAAGAGAGAAGAAGCGGAGTGGATAGTGAAGTAAAGAGGTCTAAGAGATAGATAGAAGAGAGTAGAAGAAAGATAGAAGAGAAGAGGTGTGGAAGAATATGAGAAATTAATGGAAAGCAGAAGAGGGAGAGGAGCTAGATGAACAGAAGTGGACGAAGACACTGAAGAAGAAAACGGAAGAATATGGGAGAAGAAAAATTGATAATGGGAGAAGAGAAGAAAAGAGTAAGAAAATGGAAGGAAAGTGGAATGGAAGATAGCAGAAGAT